TTTGCACCGCTGGCGTAAGATTTCTGTTCTAAAAGCAAAAGACTGCATTTGCACGGTCAATCGCTTCTATCTCGCACAGCTGGGTTTTGGTCTCCTTTGTAAGGCGGTCACTAGATCTCTGTTTCAAGCCTACTTTCGAACAAGCGTGTGCATCAAATTTGCCCCATGTCTTAAGTTCTTGTGCGACATTCACCAGCACGCACCTGTTTTATGCCGGTGTGAGATGTGGGCTAACAGCATGCTGCAGCTAAGATCTACTGTAGCGTGTGCTGCATCTCGCATTTCACGTCAAGCGGGGGAGAAAAAGGGCGGCGCAGAGGCAACAAGGACTCAAAACGACGGATGCCTGATGGAGCATCGGGACCTGAACAACTAGTTATTCCGGCTGCTACACACAAGAAAAGGAATGCAGCAGCTTTGCGTCCGAATGAAAAGCTGGTCGACATTCCAGGAAGAACTCCTTGAAATTTCAATTCCGACCTCCCACGAAGCTGTCCTGAAATAGTTCACAAGGGGGTGGTGATGTCAACCCGTCAGACGAAGGCCAACCGGCCAAAGCACGCAGTTGTGAGCACAGCAATGCGTAGAGGCTTTACGTCCGTACAGGTTCACACCCCACGTCGAGGACGAAGTTATTTTGGTGAGACATTAACCTGTTCGGAGCTCCGTGATATGATCTTCACGTAGGGGAAAGCGCTTGGCAAAATGCAGACGCCGTCCTCATAGTTTTCGCACCCCAAGCAATCGTGGTTAGCCTTGAACCGACAAGCAATCCACCAATCCGAGTCTTGCTCCGGAGGAACAAGGTCAGATTGTAGATTCCGAATGGTGGACGGGTGGGCTGGAGGATAATATTTGCAAGACACATCAAGACACGCTCGAGGTATACGGCGGGCTCGTCGAAAAAACCACAAGCAGAAGATGGTGCACCATGGCGGTCGAGTTTGGTATCACGAAGCACGTCCACCCCACCCACCCAGGTCACGACACCCCACTCGCCGCTAGATCCGAATCACACTCTTCGAACACATCTCCACCCCCACCATGCCACATGCGCCCATCATCGCCCACCGCACGCCAGTGACACAGCATGCTACACGACCTGCAAACCGCTGGTTTTACCTTGCAGCCGGCAACAGTCTCTCAGGGTCTCGCAAGAATTTCTCAAGAACATGGCAAAAAACTATTCTGCAAACGCTCAAGCTGCTCATCCATGGACACGGTCGACGATGGAGTGTAGTGGGCGCCAGCAGCCGTGCTGCAGTAGGAAGACCGCCGACGAGCATGTTTGGGAAGGTCGAATGCAACGATGTCACATGATGCCACCATGCTTGCCGACTGTGCGCCGCTGCGACAGGCGTTGGGTCGTTTCCAAGCCCTCAGCCTACGGCACACGCCAATTTTTGGGTGGTTTCCAAGCCCTAAGCCTAGGGCACACGGCAGGAGCCAAAATAAGAAATGTAGGGGGCTACGTTTCTTATTTAATATGTTGGTGGTTTCCAAGCCTATGGCAAAGGGGAGGGCGACTCACTACAGAGCCGGAACGTGTTCTGGCAGTCGATCTAGACACTACAGACTCAAGTGTACTGTAATACTGTCTTGGCGGTGTCTGTCTGGCCTCATGGATGTGCCATGGGAATCCTTGCGCTTGTACGAACTCTGCTTGGCAGACCAGTTTCCACCGCTTGTCGGCCACGTTTTGGGTCTTCGGGTCTCTGGGTCCTCACAGAGTCAGTGGAAGGCAAGTCCTTAGTTCCTGCCGTCGCACGGTTCAGCTGCGCGAAGCATATTGCATTTCTTGAATCGCACATCATCTTGCAATACTTTACACAACCTACACAACCTTGACACACTTTCATGTGCCAGCTCTCAGGAGGAGGAGGAGGAGGAGTTTGGATCTTTTGGCCTCTTTCTGAAAGGCCTTTGTCGCCAAGTTCATGCTGTAGCTGCCTGCAGCATGGCTTAAGCTGAGCCGTGGTCGAGTTTCATGAACTAGCTCGCACATACTCGTAGCTTTCAGGCCTTGGTACGAATCACGAGTCCTTGCCGGACACCATTCCACAAAGTACGACCTGATCCAAACATACAACACATAATATGATTGAGCAGCCAAGCGAACAGGGTCTACAACACTCAGCATGAAATTTCAATGCGGAGTGGCTGACTCCCAATTTCAGCGGGATGCTTATCGAGCTCTGAGCTGTGTTCTGGCTGTGCTATTACATCCTTTGATGTGCATTCGCATCCTCTGCTTCAGGCCTGCTGAAGATGCAGACTCTCCAAGGCTTGTGGACGTGGACGAGGTGGGATGCTGGGAGTGTGGGCAAGCACTGCTGACCGAACTTTACAGAACAACGATCAGCGGGCTTGTCCTGAACGGCTCGTTTGCAGTTTGCGGTAGGCCACCCGAGAGTCAGGTGCCGGCCGTGCGCCCAGCCGCGCCCGTTGCTTTACCAGGCACAGTGCACATCACTGGGCTGGCTGTCCGCATGAAACTGACCTTTGACATTAAATCTTGCAAGGGGATCGCTTCGACAGAAGTCTGCGAGAAGCTGACGCATACGATTCCTCGGACACAGAGGTGGGCGCTTGCAGTGCACGGCATCTGGCCTCCGTCAAATTTGAGGGAATCTTAGGTCTGTCTTGATTGCTGAAGCCCCAGCGGCGGCCTTAAAGTCTTGAGTGCGTGACGATTTTATGAACCAAAAATAGCAAAAAGGTCGAGCCGAGCTAAATTCAGTTGGGGGTATCTAGCCTTGCTGAGTCCTTTTGTTGTTGTCAGTTTGAGAAGCGAAGTTCATGATGCATTGGTGACGGCAGGCTCATCTCGGAGCCCGCCCGGAATCACAGGCATGGGTTCTCGTGGTTCTCGTCGCTCGTCGAGCTTAGTTTTAGACTTGCACACGTGGAAAAGGTGCAGTGTCCGCCCCCAGTTGGGCTCCAGCGGCAGGCCTGGATGCCGCATTTCTTGCGTCAGGGCTGCAGGAATGCATTCGACACCGAGCAGAAGCAGCATATGTAGCATAGTACGCTTGCCGACGCTTGCCCAGTAGTGTTCCGTCTAGTTGCCTTTGCGCTGCCTCTGCTTCTCTCTCCTACCCGCCGTGTTGAGACAGGCTGATGTGGGTGTTGGCATGCCTACCCCTGGGCGTGAAGATATAGACAAATAAGTTTCAGGAAGTCCTGAGATGCTGCTTTCCCGATGCTCGTCTCATGTAGCAGCGGCGGACCCGCAATTCAAACACATTTTATGCATGTGTTGAGCCTGGCACCCTTGGGTGCACATTATTCATAACTGCACTGTTCCTCCTGCCACTAGTCTGGCCGTGGGCCAAAAAAGTACAGGAGTGGTGAAACTTCTGAGTTTTGAGCGGGTGCTGTCCCGCTACTTCCAGGGAGGATACCCTGAGATGTTCATGGTCCGTTGCCTGTGACCCGGCCTACAGCCGTGTATACTGAGGAGACTTCGCTGGCTACGTTGGATGAACGCCATTGGCAAGCTGTGGTCGCTCCACGACCTGAGCACGACCGATAGACCTAAGAACCCCAGGTCTCGCTGCCCGGTGACTTTACCAATGGCGGTGGACCGGAAAGTAGGAAGGTGCTCGCCTACACAGGCCCGCCTGTGCAACACCCCGTTGTCCTGCGGTCATCTCCGCTGCGAACTGCAAGTCCCGATCCAGAAGCGGCTTCCCGCTGTGATTTCGCCCCTCGCCAACTCGGCCTTAAACTGCTCATCCACACGAAAACCGTACGGCAAAAGTGGGGGCTAAGCCGCCCGACCAAAATGCGCCCCTGCCTGCTCCGGCCTATTGTGGTGCGGAATCATCCCAGGGCAAAATTTTCGGGCACGTAGCCATTGCCCGAAGCAAGTGAAGGGGGGAAACTTGGCCAGGTCCTCAATCATGGGAGTCTCGCAAGACTCACACAAGCGGCTAGGATACAACGAGCCAAACGACGCGACAAGGGACCCTTGGGTCCTGTAGGGGATAACCTGGGCCACCGTGGCTGGGATTCTGCAGCGGAGCTGCAAAGGTAGCAAATGATTGGGCTCAGGAATCCCTCAAGTCTTACACGCAGCAAGAGAAGAGCGCACACGCTCTGAAGTCCTTTTACGAGCACACAAGCTCGATCCGATGGCTCAGGTCTCAGTCAACAGCACAGGCACGATGGAAGTTCTCGTCCGTCGTCTTGATCATCCACTTCTTCTGTAAGAACAGCTCGCCCTTCTTGTCCTTCATGCCGTAGTTACATCCATCCATGCGGCAGGAGAGCCAGGGAACCGCTTGCTCTTCAAGATGTCGCGTCCAAGATCTTGCATAGGGGCCTGTTTCCAGCCAAAACATGGATGCGGCCACTCAAAGTAAATCTGAGCCTCCGTGTCCTCGCTCAAGGTCTCCTTGATGAACTGGCTAACATGCCACAAAAGACATCGCTCTCGCCGGCGTGCAGTTTCCAGTTTGTCCTTGAGCTCGAGGGTGTTGTAGTTCACGGAAGTCCATGCACACCACTTTGTACACGGTAGCGAAAACCACAGTCGTTTTGGATGGTGTCGCTGTCGAAGGCCGCGAAGTGGATCCCATGTGGAAGACTGGTACAGGGCGTAGCCGTTCGCCAAGTTGATTCTCCTCGGCTTCAGGTTGTGCTCCTCAGCCGCTTCAGATAGCCAACTGTGGTGTGCGCAAGCAATCTCCCACAGCCCATCTCGGTCATGTAGATGAAGATTGAGGAGTAGACTCGAGGTCATAGCCGTGAAGATCGATGCCATTGTCATCAGCTGCTTGCCCACATAGACTGGCGCCTGTGGTTTGTACATCACCGACTTCTGCTGGGTCATTTGGTCCTGTTCTCGTAGGCGGCCACCAGCTCCTCGTCGTCGATCAACCCCCAGGCGGTGCTTGTGGACTTTGTCGCTGGCGTGGTGTTCTGGTTCTCCAGGAGCTCCTTGATCGACTTCTCCAGGACCGCCTCTGCTGTCATCTTGTTCATGGCATGACGACATATTTTCGCAGTGGGTCTAACATCTTCGTGACCATCGGTGCGTTCAGAGTCTGAACCGGAGGTTGCATACCGAACAAACCACCCACTGCCCGTGAGGATTGGCCTCGGGCGCTGATGGTCGGTGGCGCCCGAAGCAGGGCCATTGGCCCGCTTGAGCCCTCGGATCCCTTGGATCCGCTTTCATCCGCCGGGCCGCATCGAATGACCTCGGTCTGCTTTTGGCCTTGGCTTTGGCTGCCTTGACCCGATACGACTCCGCCAGCAGGGCAGCAACCTCCGGGTCCGGATCGTGCAGTGCATGTCCGCTGACGACGTCGCCATTGCTCCGCGAAGAAGAAGTTGTCGAGGGAATTGTGGCACCTCCAGTGCCGAGCATTTGAGCTGAAAGAGCTGTTGAGTTTTGCAGCATACAATCTCCACATCCTATCACGGGCTGCCGACAGCTCTTGCTCGTCAAACTCAGCATCGCGCGCAGTCATGCCTAGCATAAGCCCTTGCTGTTCATGCGAAGGACTCGAAGGAACAGAGGACGGTGATCGAACAACAACGTGAGCTTGACCGCCTCTTGGTAAGGTGATGTACAATGTCCAGGACATAATGGCCTTTGTGATTGTGTTGTAGTCGATAGGGTTCAGGGTTTGTATCCTTGGTGTTCATGGCTAGTCCACTCGCAAGTCTATCATCATACCAACACCATTGGGGCCCAAATAGTCCATACCAATCAACACAGGCCGCGGACTGCTCAAGTTCGATCTTGGCTCCTCGGTCCTGGGTGAGAACTGCAGAAATGAGCCCCCGCACCACGGCTTCAGGGGCAGCCGACGCCGTGGCGCCGCAATCAATCACGCTGGTCCCCGGCGTCGAGGAAACATCATGCGAGGCCACGGCTTCTAGGACCTCAGATACTTCCAAGCCACCCAGGAAGAACTCAGAGGAGTACGCGTTCACACTCCGCGGGCCATCTTTGCCACCAACACCCTTGCCTTTGGCTTTCGCCTTGCCCTTCATCCATGCTTGGGCCTCCAAGGCCATGCCTTTCTTGGACTTGCCCTTGTACTTTCCCTGGGACTTGCCCTTGCCGTAGCAATAGGCGTAGTTCTCGTCCAGATCGGTCATGTAGTTTCGGTGATAGCTCTTGCCGCCCTTGCCTCCTTGATGAGCTCGGTCTTGGCATTCGCGGGCAAAATGGTTACCACCGCAGATGAAGCACTTGCCGGAGGAGGCGTTGGAGGGAAGACCGAAGCCTCGATCACGCCTGAGGGCCTGTGTGGCGCATTGCGCCTCCGACCACGTCCTTGTAGCTCCGGCGGCTAACGATTCAGCCACCCTCTCGGCTTGTTGTGCCTCTTGAAGTTTGGCCGCCAGCTCAGGATCAGCGGGAGCCTCGTTCATGGTCTGAGCCTCTTGTGGCCACTCGCTCTCCCACCAAGATCGTGGTGGTCCGTGTAGGCATCCTCGTACCACCAGTCATGGCCCCATCCGTCATCATCCCACCAATCATTCACCTCATGTTGGTAGGCCGTGTGGTCGTCGACAGTGTCGATCAGGTGGGTGTTGTAGGAGCTTGAGTGGTGCCGGTGAGTGCCAAGCAGCTGATCGTTCCACAAAGTCTGAAGTGCCGTCGAGATTACGGTGTAGTCGAGAGTCGAGAGAGTTCTTCGTTGTGCTGAGTATATCTCGTTTTTCATCAGCATTAAGTCCAGCTGCTTGTAACAATCTCCGGCCTCGCAACACATCCATGATAAACGAATCCGCAACCAGAGCTCGTCCAAGGGAACCTTCGCATCGCCGGTGTCGCCTTTCTTGGAGCCCGTCTGTGAGCCGGACTCACCAGGTCGGTGACTCGGCGAGGATCCCGTTGCGCCTCGTGGTAGCGCCGAATCGTCGGGAGGATCTCGTCTTCCTGGGCTTGCGCCGGGAGGTGGATCTCCGTCATCATGAAGTCTGATAATGGCTTCCACAAACTCCTCGTGCACAAGGGTTTCTCTCACAAGAAAGTTCCCAATCGACTCTGCTGGTTGACGGCGAAAGCTGAAGTACTGCTGGCAGATGGCGGCGGCATTGGGCAAGGTACGTCTAACCAGCGGTGAGCTGGCAAGACGACGAAGAAGAAGCTTCGTGCCGCCGCTGGAGTCAAAGTCCATCTGTGACCAGGACATAGCCAGGAGACGAGCTGGTCCCACCAATCTGGTAAGAAGGCGAGATGCGCAGTATCTCTTCTTATGTACCGGCGTACTCAAGACAAACCATGCTACTTCCCTGGTGTATCGTCGCCAGGTTCTTGCGCTCCGCTACCAATGCAGCGGAGCTGCAAAGGTAGCAAATGATTGGGCTCAGGAATCCCTCAAGTCTTACACGCAGCAAAAGAAGAGCGCACGCGCTCTGAAGTCCTTTTACGAGCACACAAGCTCGATCCGATGGCTCAGGTCTCAGTCAACAGCACAGGCCACTAAAAAGGGCGCCCCTTCCTGATGAGCCTAATGCACGGCACAACTTCATTAGCATCGTCGAAGCTGTGGGGATTTGTTGCAGATTCCCGACAACAGAATACAAAAGAGGTCATTCTGAGCTGGGTTACACCAGCCGCACGACGTCTCTTTCTGCTTGGCTCCCCGACATAGCCTTACGCCGCTGATCTGTCTTCCTCGAATACCACACAACCTTGCAATTCGCGCAAATCCTGGCGGAGATGCTGCAAATTATTGTCATCGGCGCCATGAGCCACTCTCGCAGGGACTCCGGCCGAAGCTGCAACCAATGCTCGCGGCGACCCACCGCCTGGATGGGCGCCTGCAGGCGGGCTTTGCCCAGCCTAACCGCCCACCAAGACAGTGAGGTCGTGATGGCAAACACCAACGCCGCAGTATACTCTTGTTCTTCGCGAGCTGGATAGATGCGCTTCCCTTGGCCAAGCCAAAGCTCCCATTCATGAAGGGGTGGGAGTGCCGACTTGCAACTGGCCAGCTGCTAATTCTCGCGATGTTGTGCCGCAACTTCTGCGCTTTACGCCGGGCCCCCAGGAAATGTATGCATCATATTCTGTGTCTGTCCAAAGTCCTGCCGCCCACATGCGCTTTTCCCAGACCAGCTTCCAGTAGGTTCCGGGCCGGGTTCGTGCGGACGGACCCAAGATCGACTTGCAACTCCTGATGCAAGCTAGCCTGGAAGGTTGGGTCCGCTAGATCCTGTGCAGGGTCACTTACCAGATCCACCAACAACACGGAAACCTCAATGCTTTCTTAAGCGGCATGTTGGCACCATGCTGAGGTCCCCCATCACTGGCGGGAGGTCCGCCTGCCCGGGGTCAACTACCCCTGACTCGACCGCCTTCTGGGCCTCGCCGGGCACCCTCAAGCTTTGTCAAGCTTTCACCTTTTGCTTGCAAGTCGAGGCGAGCCACCACAAACCCTCTCGCCCTGCAAGTCTACTGCACGTCGGTGGGCCCCATTTGGGCATGGGACCTTGTTGTTGCACTTAAACCCCCGCACAGCTTAGACCGGGGCTTCGGCACGAGGCCCAGCTGGGCCGGCATCCAAATCAGCTGCGCAAACGAGCCACTTGAATCTGCGAAGCACCTCCCAGGTTGAGCTTGCTCAATGCGCAACCAAGTCCGACTTTGGTTAGCCTTTTTATTCTGGGTTGCAAACGTCCGCGGGCCACCTTCGAAAAAGTGATCCCGCGCCGGGCGTCACGTGTGGGCCGAAGCTAGAAACTATACATCGTCCTCATCGTCATCGATGAGGATAGGCACGGGGACACGCTCCCGGGCTGTACGTAAGTGCGCCTCAAGGCGACGAGAAGCAACCACTGCAACACGAATCATGCTCTGCTCGTTTTGAGCGGCCTGAAGCAAGGAGCTATGCCAGTTGGCACGATCCGACCCCGCATAACGTTGTCGACACAACCGTTTGGTCGGTCTCGTCCACACATGCAAGCAGTGGTGGCATCGCTGTGCCCTTTGTTGTAGTGCCACGTAGTGCCGCCCGTCGCCAAGCATGCACGCTTCTCCGACAAAGTGGTGGCCTTCTGATACACCTGAGCGTGACCTGTGAAAGCGACCTGGTCCTGGGTCAGGGCAGGGAAGGTCTAAACCCCGAGCGAAAGAGGGATCCTGGCGGTGATAGTGCCGCTGTATGCGGCCGCACTTGCGGATGGTCTGGAGCTTGTAATCCTCGGACATCATGCGGGCAGCTGCCAGGGTGTCGAGTGTGACCTCGTCCGACCACTCAGGCTCAGGCGGCCTCAGCAGAGCGCGGCCAAGTGCCGACAATGCAGACCAATCGGCCATCCAATGGGCATCCAGGCTCCATCCCAGAACCACCAGGGTTGCCTCGAAAGTCAAGATGCCTTTCAGGGACGCTGCCACACTACAGCGTATGCCTTCAAGCTCCTCCTGGGTGGGGAGCGCGACTCCAGCAGCCCAAAAGAGAGCCGGAAAGATCAACGTTTTGATGATTCGGAGTCGCACGGCCAAGCTGAAAGCAGGGTTCGTAGCATGACGCAATCTGGTCTGCAACTTGCGTAAGTCCAACCTATATAATTTAAGGGGGCTCGCACCTCCAGTCTCCAGGGAAAGCTCGACACCAAGAAACTTCAACGTCGGAGCAATGGTGTATTCATGCCGATGTGCTAAGCCTCGCCACGGGCAATCCGGATCGTCGGTGACCAAATGGCACTTCCTTCTTGAGCAGGTGAGGCCGGCAGCACGGTCAATTCTGATCACTCCTTTGAAGAGCCTGTTGGGCATCATGTGCCGCAGAGGGGCCAGGTGCAGGGTGTGCAGCCCGCCAGTGCGAGGTGGTGTGATTCTCAACCACAAACAAGCGAAACTGCTGCGCATAAAAGCCGGAAACAAGTCGAGCCAGAGCGCTGGGTGCGCTTGGGCTTTTCACGGGGAGATGGTGTTGCCACCCCCATTTACCCTTTCCTCTTTTCACGGGCCGTCGGCACTTTGCCGCGCCCGTTTATTGGTGCTGCATGCCACCCCCAATGTACCCCCTTTCCTCTTTTCACGGGCCGTCGGCACTTTGCCGCGCCGTGAAAAGAGGTGTTGCATGCCACCCCCAATGTACCCTTTCCTCTTTTCACGGGCCGTCGGCAGTTTGCCACGCCCGTTTAAACACACTCATATCCTCACACCTGTGAACGGCCCCCTGTGGCCGCTATACTAGTTATACCCTGAATCTATCTATATATATATATATATCTTGAACCCCTAACCCTAAACTCCAAATCTTAAAACAAAAACCCCAAACTCTAAACCCTGAACTCTAATCTAAATTCTAAACTCTAAACCTTAAACCCAAAAAACCTAAACCCTAGTGCTCTGGAAATTGGCATGTGTTCCCGTCAAGCCACTGCTTCTTGGTCTGACTGGCCTCTGTACGTGCTTGCCAGGTCAGATAATGGGTCTAGGGAAGCGCAAGCGAGTGCTTCTTGGTCTGCCTGGCCTGTGCTTCTCTTGGCACTTATTCCGCACTGCTCAGATTCTTCATGCTCTGTCGCTCTTTTTTTGGCCGGTAGACGTTGTGTCATGTCTGCGTACGCATGTCACTACGTAGAGGTT